TATTGCAAAAATATAATCTTTATTTTCAAATATTATTATATTAAATTTTATTTAAATATTTTAAATAATTAAAAAAGTAGATCACAGATATATTTATAGTAATTATATATGCAAATTTGCTTGCAAATCTCTACCAATTAAGAGATAACTACTTTTTTTAAAGATTTAGAAGCATTTTTATTGCCAATTATAATGTTAATTATTTGGCTTCAAAACAATGTCATGCCAACAGAACTAGCTATTTTTTATACATTCTTTTTAGAAATTAATTTTATTTTTATGTGCAATTGAATATACTGGTGTTTACTTTGCTATGATATTTGGGGTAGCACAGAGAGATTTTCATTTTTGATAATATTAGAGTTTATTATATTTGTCTATACACATTTATTATATATTTTATTGTGCTTTACTGTAGATATATCCTTAGATAATCAAACTATTCCACTAACCCAAATGATCTGTAGAATTTATCTACAAAATATAACACTATGGTATTATAGAAAAATACTCTCTTTACTTATTAAACCTTCTACTGCAGCTACAAATATTTTTATAATATTTGGCTTAGCAATTTTGGCTATTTATATTATACTATATAACAGATAAATTCAAATTTATTATTATTATATTTTATAAAAGCTGCTATGTATTACTGTAACAGTAAATAGCAAGCTTTTCTTATATATATATTTATAATACCAACTTCTAAATATGTGTATATAATAGGAGACAAAATGCCAATTTCTAACTAGGATATAAGTAATAACTACACTTTACTTATTTAACGATTACATTTTCTTTTGTAGCAATTATTTATTTGATAAATTTGTTTATCGGATTGTTAAATAATAAAATAAGTAAAACTAAACCAAAAATTATTTTTAATCTTAATACTAAGAGCTAATATATAATCGTAAACTATATTTAAATATTATATATATATATATTAAAATTTCCTATTATAATTATATAGATATTAGAAAAAATTGAATTATTTTATATATTACAAGAAAAGAAATTTGGTTTTTATCTGTCATGTAAGTTATTTAATTGTATACAAAAATAAAACAGCATTATTACTTATATATTTTTATATTTATATTTAAAGTTTTTATAAATACTATATAATTAAGCTTCATAAATAATTGTGATGCCTGATAAAACTCACATGATCTGACAAACCAAAATATTTCTTGTCAGGTAAAGCATCTATATTTGTGAATATATAATAAATATTCGAAGCAACAATTATAGAAAGCTATATTTTTCAAATAATTTTAATAAAATTCTAGAATTCAAAGAACCGATTTAAAGCAATTGAAGAAGCTGTTGAAAAACCAAATAAAAAAAAATTAAATGAAAAAAAACTAAATAAATGAAAAAAGAACCAAATGAAAAAAAACCAAATGAAAAAAAAACTAAATAAAAAAAAACTAAATAAAAAAAAAACTAAATAAAAAAAACTAAATAAAAAAACTAAATAATAAAAAAAAAAAACCAAATAAAAAAAACTAAATAAAAAAAATAAATAAAAAAAAACAAATAAAAAAAAAATAAATAAAAAATAAATAAAAAAAAACTAAATGAAAAAAAACAAATAAAGAAACTGTTAAAGATTATATTAAAAAAAGTCAACAATTTTGTTTTTCTAGTTTTAGCTTATAAGCTAGAGTTTAAAACTAAGTTTATTTTTCATATATTAAATAAAATTAGTTCTAAACTTCTAGCTATAATGCTATAAATATAATAATATCATAGTAAATTTTTTTATATCATAATACAGTAAGCTATATCAATATATAGTTATGTATAGTGAGATCTTATACATGATAATAATAGTTATACCACCTTTGATCATTTTTATAGAAGTTTTGCAGATAAGCTTTTATGTATAAGAATTTTTTGTATACAGTTTGTTTTCATAACTATTTATCTCTAAATTTAGTATAAATTTTTTTGCACACAGTTTTTAATTTTGTTTGTTATGAATTTTTTATTAAAAAACAAAACCTTAAATAGTATAAATAAAAAGAAATATTTTCTTTGGCCCAGAAGTTCCAGCTCTGCAAAAAGCAATACTATCAGCTCTTTTTTACTAAATACTAGCAGTTCTTTTTCAAGCTTTTATTCAAAAAATACCAGCTTTTCTTTAAAATACACTACTAGCTCTTCTTCTTTAAAATATACCACTAGCTCTTCTTTTTCAAAATGCACTACCAGTTCTTTTTCTTCAAAATATACTACCAATTCTTCTTCTTCAAAATATACCACCAGCTATTCAAAAAGTACTATCAGCTCTTTAGAATTGCCAGTTGTAACAGCACTAGAAAAATTTTACCATATTTACAATTTACAAGTTATAACTAGTTGTGACTTTTTTATTTAGAAAACCCAGAATCAAATTTACTTACCCATTAAAGACTGAAATAAAGAAGTTTCATTGTTTGTTAATTCCTTATTAATATATATATATAAATAGTCAAAAAAATAAAAAAGTTTTCACAAGAAGATAATTATTTTATCTTTTATATTTATTATACTTACTCAAATGATTTGAGAATTAATTAGCTTATTCGTGAGTAATATTTATCACTTTACTAGTGTTATTATATATATATTAGATGTTAGATTTATTCTTTTGTATTTGCACGTTCTTTATATTTGCTTGTACTTATTTGTACTTGTTTGCATTTGCTTTCATTTGTAACTTTATCAACATTATTACAATTTGATATATATAAAGTTAGTAGCAAAAAGAGATAAATCATTTAATAATTTTTTGTTTAAAATTAAATTAAAGTATCATAACAACTATCAAACCAAATTTGATAAAAGTTTTTTTTCTATATAATTATAGAATTAGGCTTGTAGGATTAGAAAAATAAAAAATTCTTTATAACTTTGGTTTGGTAGTTGTTACAATATTTTAATTTAATTTTTTAAAAAAATTATTATTGGTAAATAATCTGTCTTTTTTATTAACTCATTCTTTATAAATGATGAGTTATTAAAAACTTTCTTTTAATAAGCTATTCAAATTCTTTATTAATATTTAATTTTTTTTTTATGCTAATATTATAGTTAGAAAAAGATTGCAATATCACAAAATTTTTTAAACTTTACCTCATAGATCCTTACATATTCATTGATTAATGTAAATATGAATATAATATGACTTTAGAATTCAAGAAATTTTTATTAACAAAATTAAATGGTTGTAACATTAATAAGCAAAATGTATTCAAAAAATACAAGTATTTGCAGGTATATAATATTGATTCAAATTTATATTTGTTTTTTAATAATATGTAATATATAAAGGCTTATATATTTTAGACTATTGCATTCAAGTGGATTATCAATTCTCTTAATATCAAAAAGGCATTTTCAAGAACTATTTGCTAAAATAACATAAAAAAACTTTATTATAATTACCCGGTACTTTCATTTATAGCAGACTTGACTCAACTACAAAAAAAATTTTAACATATTATTTCTTCTTCAGCATTTGAAAAAATAATTCATATTCTTGAGAATTATTTTAAGACACTATCTGAAGAATTTAAGAACTTATTTCTTAAATTCTTTTTGAATAAAAAAAAATAGAATCATGATATATTAAGCTCAGTAAATAAAGATGATTAGCTTCAACCTTTTTATTTTTTTATTCGAAATGTTTGCAAACATCTGTAGGTTTAATTATATATATATATATTAATGACTTGAATTTACCACTTTGTACTAAAAATAGTACATTTTATAAAATAGATTAAAATTTTTAAAAAATTATATATATAAATATTTTGATATACAAAAATCTGTTAGGTATTCCAAAATAGATTGGCATTATTTATTTTAATATTATAAAGAAAATTATTTTAAAATAATTTTTTTAAATATTCAATTATTTGTAATTCTTGGTGTACTAGATTTAGTACACCTTTATGTATGTTTATTTTATAAAATTATTAATAAATTTAATAAATTAAAAGTTTATAATATTAAAAATATCATAGGCATGTTGTATTTAAAAAATTATCATTATTTATATAATAAAAATTATAACTTTATATTATAAGATTTATGTAATACAAATTAAAAATCATTACTATTTTAGTATTTTATATGTTTTTTAATTTTTTAAATAATTTTAAAAAAATTTTTATATAATAATTTTTTTTAATTCTTAATAAAAGTTAGGGAAGTGTCATTTATTATCTAATTTTTTTAAATAGTAAATATTACCCTTCCTACATGATAAATGAATTGAAATTCCAAAAGTATGCATATATACATATATGATATTTTGGTAGGGACCCCCTTCAAAAAAAATTAGGTAATAAATGACACTTCCCTTATAAAAAAAAACACTTACTTTTAATAAAAAAAATTATTAAAATTGAAATAATTTATTACAACTTTTATATATTTGAAAATTTACAAATTTTTTACATATAAAATTTTACTATATAAATTTTTGCAAAAATTGACAGAATTCAAAAAATTATTGAATTTTTAAAATAAATTTTTAAGCTATGAAAAACTCAAAATCAGTTGTTCATCATTTGAAGAATTTTTTAAAATTATTTAAAAATATAATTATTATTTAATATTAATAGATAACTAGACTATAAAATGTACTAAATCTAGTACAATATACTAGATTTAGTACAAGTAAATCCAATTCATTAAATTATAATTATAATTTTTATATATAGTTACAAGTACTCCAGTAAAAAGAGTATTTTCTAGTAGCAAAATTTAATTACTGATAAAAGAAGTAATTTGAATCAAAAAACTATTAAAGCATGCATAGGTTTAAAAGAATGGTGGAAAATTAATAAAGATAATGAAACAGATAATTAAAATAGAATAATATAGTATAGATTTACTAAAATACAGTACTAACTTGCTATATATAGTATAAAATTTAAAAACTACAAATAAAATAATTGGGTTTATATAATATTTAAAAATTTTTAAACCAGTGTTGTAATTATTAAAGTGACTTGGCTAATGTAAAGTAAAATTAACTCAAGATAATATTCTAATTTGGATTAAAAAACTTAATTTAATCTAATTCAAAAAGTTCAAGTAACCTGGCAGTGATTAGTATAATATATATAATTTAGCAAACTCAATTAGAATGGCAAAGTTGAACCTAAATCAACATACCAGAGACCCAGTTGAACAAGTAAATCGACCATGAAAAAAAAAGTTCAAAAAGTTTAAGTAACTCGGTAGTAATTAGTATAATACACATAATTTAGCAAACTCGATTAGAATGGGCAAAGTTGAACCTAAATCAAATTACCAGTGATCCAGTTGAACAAGTAAATCGACTATGAAAAAAAAAATCAAAAAGTCCAAGTAACCTGGTAGTGATTAGTATAATACATATAATTTAGCAAACACAATTAGAATAGGCAAAGTCGAACCTAAATCAACATACCAATGATCTGGTTGAACTAGCAAATTGACCATGAAAAAAAAAAGATCAAAAAGTTCAAGTAACCCAGTTGTAATTAGTATAATATACATAATTTAGCAAACTCGATTAGAATGGGTAAAGTCGAATCTAAATCAACATACCAAGAGACCTGGTTGAACAAGTAAATTGACCATAAAAAAAAAAGATCAAAAAGTTCAAGCAACCTGATTGTAATTAGTATAATACATATAATTTAGCAAATACAATTAGAATGAGCAAAGTCAAACCTAAATTAACATACCAGTGATCCAGTTGAACAAGTAAATCGACTATGAAAAAAAAGATCAAAAAGTTTAAGCAACCTGATTGTAATTAGTAAAATATACATAAATTAGCAAACATGATTAGAATAAGCAAAGTCGAATCTAAATCAACATACTAGTGATCTAATTGTACAAGTAAATCGACTATGAAAAAAAAAGTTCAAAAAGTTCAAATAACCTGGCAGTGATTAGTATAATACACATAATTTAGCAAACATGATTAGAATGGGTAAAGTCGAACCTAAATCAACAAGAGACCCGGTTGAACAAGTAAATCGACCATGAAAAAAAAAAGTTCAAAAAGTTCAAGTAATCTGGTAGTGATTAGTATAATACACATAATTTAGCAAACTTAATTAGAATGCATAAAGTCGAACCTAATCAACATACCAAAAGACCCAGTTGAACAAGTAAATCGACTATGAAAAAAAAAATCAAAAAGTTAAAGTAACCCGGCAGTAATTAGTATAATACATATAATTTAGCAAACATGATTAGAATGGGTAAAGTTAAACCTAAATCAATATACCAAGAGACCTGGTTGAACAAGTAAATTGACTATGAAAAAAAAAGATCAAAAAGTTCAAGTAACCTGGTTGTAATTAGTATAATACACATAATTTAGCAAACACAATTAGAATGAGCAAAGTTGAACCTAATTAGCATACCAGAGACCCGGTTGAACAAGTAAATCAACCATGAAAAAAAAAAGTTCAAAAAAGTTCAAGTAACCCAGTAGTTACACATAATTTAGCAAACTCGATTAGAATAAGCAAAGTCGAACCTAATCAACATACTAGTGATCAGATTAAACAAGTAAATCGACCATGAAAAAAAAAATCAAAAAGTTCAAGTAACCTGACAGTGATTAGTATAATACACATAATTTAGCAAACACAATTAGAATGAGCAAAGGCGAACCTAATCAACATATCAGTGATCTGGTTGAACAAGTAAATCGACCATGAAAAAAAAAGTTCAAAAAGTTCAAGTAACTTGGTAGTTACTAGGGTTCCTAGGTTCAGTTCAGTTCAAATTTAGGTTCAATGAACCTGAACTGAACCTGAACTTAAAGTTCAGGTTC